TAAGTAATCAATTGCTTCTTTAATATTGATTTTCTCTTTACTAATATCTTTTCCATCATCAAATAGGTTTAACATATAATGACAAAAATGCCTCTTATAATAGTTTTTAAAGCTTGCAATAATCCCAACGTCAAGTGGCTGAAGATGACTTGTAGTATTAGGAGGTAAAAAGGCTACCTCAATATGAGTTAGTTAAAGCTGAGGGATATTAAGTTTAGCCTTTGATTTACCACCACAACCTCTATTACAACCTCTAGATTCACAGTTACTTGGTTCATCACTACAGCCTCTACCATGACCTCTAGATTCACGGTTACTTAGTTCATCACCATAGCCTTTACCACGACCTCTACTACAATCATGATTGCTTAGTTCACCATCACAGTTTCTTGAAGCTTGATTTATATTATAGATGCCTGCTGAAACCTCCTCAAAATAATTTCGTCATACCCTTTTCTATATTTTTAATATAGTTTCGACAGTTTTGGCTTTCATCATATTAAAAGGATTTCGTTGTATCCCTTATTATGATTTTAATATAGTTTCGTTTAAGTTTCGACTGTTATTAAGGGGTTTCATCTCTCATCATTAATTTATATTAAAAAAAAAAAAAATCTGGTAAGATATTTTTATTAAATATTTGACAATTATATTATATTTATTATGTAAATAAATTTTTCTATTTTCTATTTTTTAAATTTTTTTTTTTTATTATTTAATTTTTCTATTATTATTATTATTATTATTATTTTTTTTATTGTTTTTTATTGTTTTTTTTTTAATATGTAATATATATCTAAAGTAACTATCTAATTCACAGAGTACTCTCCAAAAATCGTCGAGTTCATCCACGCTTTCGAATTTCTACAGTAATAAACTGAAAATCTCTTCATATTAATTTTCGAAAGAGGTCTTGGACATTTTGTATTACCAATTACTCATGGTTTGAGTTTATCGGTTCTTATTGCATTTATACTAAGAAGAACTGTGATTCGTGTTTTATCTTTTTTTTTATCACAAACGGGCTTGGTTGAAAGTGTTTGATTTAGAGACATCTGATAGTAAAGACCTGTTTTATCAATATTGTAAATTTTATCAAGAGTATACTGGCTTAGAAGTTGACAAAGCTTAATTTTTTCTTCCGGAAGAGATGCTATTGGTGCATTTCCTGATTCTCCATGTATTCGATACCGACAGATGTTATTACGTTTTTTGAAACTATCTAACCAACCATTAGAGAGTACCAACTTATCTTCTTGTATGTTGAATGCATTGACAAAAAATCTCACTTTTTCTTTCATTAATGAATCTGTTAAGATAACGCTACCTGCTGTTACACTTTCTATCCACAAACTCATAGCCCTGTCAAGTTCTGGAAACTTGACTCTTTTATTTTTGTAAATTTTCTTAGAACCTTCAATTTCTAACACAGAACTCCACCTTTCACTTTGTACCAGTATCTTTGTTATAGTACTACAATAGATTTTTAAAGTTGGGTCTTTTTCGTTAAAATAGCTGGCAATTTCTTCATGTTTTTTATTTTATTATTTTTTGACCATTCACAAATTTGATGCTTAAGGCTAACACTTATGGCCAAATGGTGTTATTTGGATGATCGGTCAGGAGATATTATAATATTCAAAAATTAGTTAGGGAAGAATAATGATACTGTTATAAACCACCACTTGAGTTAGAATAGTAAGGATGTAAATTTATTAGAAAAGGTTTGCCATGGATAGATAGTAAGAGGTCATTCAGAAATAATTTTGAGAAGGGGTTTTTAAAGGAATCAATAATATTGTAATCACTTGATATTTCCAATAAAAGCATATTGACACTTTAAACATCACTTTTTTTATTGAAAAAAAACTATCGCTACGAAAAGAAAATTTTTTTTAGCATTACAGTATTATATTTCTAAGTGTGTTACATTTAAAAAAAAAATGTAACACATTTTTTCTAGTGTTACATTTTAAAATTAAGATAATCAAATAATCAATTTATCAAACTTTTTTGATCTTAGTCAATTAAATCTCTTCGATATAAGCCAATTGGAAATTTGTGATTATAAAGAGGTCTAATTACTAATAAAAATGATATGTACATTATGAATCATGAGGTGATAATGACTATAACTGATTTGTGATTATAGAAAAGTAATTTAATAAGCTTTAAATCTGTTCTGCAAAAATGGGTTCTTATATAAAAGTGTGACTATATATGGTGTGACTATATAGAGGTTTGACTATATTTGCATCTTGTTAAAAAAATTTTACATACTTAAAATTTTAAAAAAATTTTAAGTTCTATATGAAACAGACAATAGTTAAGGAAAACAGTTAAAAAAAGATTCATTTATAGATTAACTATCTGGTATAGTACAGATCACAGGGGGAGGAAGAGGATCCCGAAAAATACATATAGAGGTCAGAGAAGATCGGCAAGATTTTAGGTTAAAATAAGCAAATATTTTTATTAAGATTAATACGCAAATTTGACTTATGACCTTATAAATTTTATTAAAATAAGCAAATCCATTTTATGACATATACAATTAAATTACTTATATTAACGAATTAAAAATCATGATAGTTTGACACACTCTTAGAAACGATTGAGTTTCTAACTATTATTCTACAGAATCTATGGATTTATCATGATTTTCATGGCTGCGCTGTGAAAATCAATGATATTCATGATATTTCGTGAACAACTAGATAATTAAATAATATATTAATATAAATTGATATTTACATATATGCCTTTAGGTTTTGTTATATAAAACTCATTAATACAATTTTATTATCATCTTAAAATGTACAAATCAGGTAAATATAAATTTTTAATTCATACTATTTAATAAAAGACTAATTGTATCATTACTACTGAAAAATTCGTAATAGTCTTTGGATGAACTAGACAAAATCAAAGAATGATGATTAATAATTATATCATCAAAAAGTAAGCGAAAAATAAAGTTAGATAGATGTTTATGTATAAAAATAATATATCCATCTGGAGTAATAGATGTAAACAAATTATTGCCTGTAGGAATAAAAACTTTCAAAGTAACCTTTAATATATTTTCAATTTTTGTAATGTGTTTAGTATTAAAACTATGATTGCCATATAATTCATAATATAATGCTTGTACTTGACTAATACAAATTTGTTTACCATAAAAACAAAGAATAAAATGATTTTGCGCTAAAGGAAAATCTTCTGATATATTAGCATTTTCTATATTTGGTACTAATAAAATAAATAAATAAATTATTAATTTAATAAATTATAATAGCATAATAACTTGTAATAACTTACTTTGTGGAATTATATTTCAATTTCGTTTTCCTAAAGTAAGATAATAAGATTGTTTAGATTGTTTACTTTTTTCCTGATTATAATTAACAAGTGTTTTAGCTATTGTTTGACGAATAGATTTCCATCAACTTGTCCTTTGTGAAACAAAGTGTTCTTCTTGATTATTATTTTTTACAAAATAAGACACAATAAAAAATCTGCTGTTTGTGAAACTTCATTTGATGCTCGACCAACTGCTTCTGACAATCCAATTATATTATCATCAGTTTCAGCTTCAATATTTGTAGATGAAAATGATACTTCTAGATCATCAATTGATTCAATAAGAACTATCGGCTGCAATGTTTCAATTGGTAAATTATTTGGCATTAACATATTTAAATATTCAGCAAGTTCACAAGCAAGTTGACGTGATTGTTTAAATTCTTGAAGTATATCTAAATCGCTAGGCCATTTTGTTAAATTTAAAATTGTATCAGTAGTTAAATTTTCTTCATTATAGTCAAAAAGATATCCTAATTTTAAAAAAAAATTAGAAGATTTAAATAATTTAATAAATAAATTATCAATATACTTTACCTTCTCAAACTGATTTTTCTTTATTAAATGATATATTATTAGTTCTTAAAGATTTTGAATAGTGTGAAATTTTAGGAACCATTTGTAATATTTCTGCAAAATCAAAATCTGCATGAATTTGACGTGCTATTCCAAATATATGTTCACAAGCCTCAGAACCATGCATCCAAGAAATTAAAGGAAATTCAGAATAATATTCATGATGTGATTTAACAAGAAGAACCATAGATTTCGATAATGAATTAAAAATAGAAAAACTTTACGCTACCATAAAATTTTCTTGAATAGATATAAAATATGGATATTTATATGACATACATTTTATATGATATTTCCAAAGTTGTAAAAAAAAATATGCTGTCATACACATTCGTATTCTTTCAATAGGGCATATTTCTCGATTTAAGTAACTATCTACAAGTTCTCCTAAAAAAAATTATAAATTTAATAAGTAAAATAATAATAAAAAAAAATATTATTTATAAATAATTTTTCTTACCTAAAATAAACAGATAAACAAAAAAACCTTTGTATCCTTCTTTTATTTTATTTTGATAATTTAAACATTGGGCTAAATTATGAAAATAAAAAGCTCGATATGCTACTCCATCATCTTATCTATCAAGTTTTATAACATTATTTTTATACATTACAGAAATTGAAGAATTAACTAATTTAAGAAATTGCTCAAAACGAGCTGTGAATTTACCAAATGTTAAAACACGTGCTCCAGACATTATAATATTACGAGCTGTTTTTTTTACGTATTTTAGATCTTGAATTCGAAGTACTGGACCAATATTTGGAAAAACAGGACATCTAAAATTAATATTTAATGTATCATTTTTGATTCTTATTTCTTCAGTAGTTTGAGTATTTATAATAATCAACTGTGCTTGAAATTCTGCTGCTACACCATCAGATCTAATCGAAAGTATATTAAGATTTAATTGTGAATCAATTTCTAATAATAACTTTTTGTGAAAATTTGCAATTGTGTTTGCAGAATCTGTTCCATTATTTGGTATAAGAGCAATTATAACAGGAGGAAATTTTGGTAATAATACCTATTTAAAAAGATATAAGTCAATTGCTAAGAATTTTTTTAATAATTATAATTACAAATTATTTAATAATTATAAATTAGGTTTATTTACCTGTAAAACATAAACTCGAACATTATTTAAATAATTTCTGAAATGTCATTATATATATGTACTTTGGTTTTATTTTGCAATAATGTTGATTTAATAATACATCCAAGCTGAGTTGAATAACGAAGACGAGATTTTAATTTGGTATTATCACTCATAGCTGCAATTGGTCCTTCATAATTAATTCTATCCAAAAGTCTTTTAAATCAAGCTACATTTTCAAAACAAAGATCTGGATTTGTAAGTGTATCATTTGAATTAGCACGGAGAATCTTAAGTTTAAAATTAAGCATAAATTAATTATAATATTTTAATTAATCAATATTAATTAAACCAAATATTTACCTTATACTTTGAATACTTCGTCCTGCTAAATTTTGTCAAAATAAATCTAATGCACGTAGGCTAAAACTTCCAAGTATGACTAAAAAATTAGTAAATTTATCTGAATAACGAAGATTATTTGTTGATTTATTTTTTTCTTTTCGTATAGAAGTTTGACACATAATTTTACACAATCCTGAAATCACTTTTGAATCTTCAAATGCTCCATTAAGACCTTTTTCAGCAAGAGTAATCCAAGGATTGGAAGTTAACAGATCATCAGCTTTAATTATATTCCAAATGATTTGCAGATCAGCATTCCTTAAATGTTATTTTAATGCATCATTTTCAAAATACCAATTTGGCGTAAATTTAAATTTTTTTCAACAGGTTTTTTAATAGCAACACGATTTGCTAATTTTGGATTTAGTTTGAGTTGTTCACAATCAATACAAAGATTACTCTCTGTATAATTACCAGTACAGTTTTTTGCACAAATACAATTGCCTATTAATTATATTTAATAATATTATATTAATATATTTAATCCAAAAATAAAACTGATAGACTCAATTAATTAAAGTTTAAGTTTTATAAAAGTTAACTTACCATCACAATCAATTTTCCATTCTGCCTCTGAATATATTTGTTGATTTAATTTTCTTTTTTGTGCATGACTTAATTTTTTTCAAGTAAATTTTTCTGTAAAAAGTGATGGAAATAATTCTTTACCAATAATTTCAATACGCCTTATATCTCCAACTTATGCTAGAGTTCGTTCAATATAATATCTAATTTTTTGAGAACGTAATCCAGGACAACGAATTCTTTTTTGATTTTTTTGATTTTG